TTACTGTATTTCTTGTTTTCAGTGTGATGGCTGGAAAGCAAATTCACTATACTGCAGTGAATACTATGCAGTTCAGAAAGGATGTTTGGGGTTTTTTTTAAGAAAAAAGTTAAACTAACCTTGACTGTGCTTCTAAATGTGTATGTGAGCCTTCTGCTGTTAAAAATAAATGAGCTTGTGAGATGGTGGAGGGTCTCCAGGGAGGTCTACAAGTATTGGGAATGGCCAATGCTGCTTATATCCTCTTTTGCTAATAACAATAGCATAGAAATAATAACGAATGCTGTGACATTGGGTTTTCTAAAGCTTGTTTTCCAGACACCTGGGGATGGTAGGGCACTCTGTGATGGCTTGGCATTTGACTTGCCTCATTAACTTCCCACTTCTTAAGTGATCAGATTTTGCTGGCTTAGACTTGAGATCACATTAGAATCTGATACAGGGGGACGTTAGCAGTGTTGAATAACTGTCTGCCCACTGTTCCTCCCATGGAAGTGACCCTCTATCCCAGCAGAGCCCTCTCTTTAAATTTTGTTTTTTTCCCCTCCCAGCCCTGGCCTTTGCAGACAACTTTGCTGACATTTGTTTGAGATGAATCCAGGAATGGCTGCTCTGCCAACAATCACAAGTTTAACCATAATTTGCTACTAAATTATGTTAGTAACAAATGTTCAGTGCTCGTTGACAGTGTTTTGAATGTTTAATGTTTCAATTGCCAGACTTCAGAATCTTGTGTCAGTGGCCTTAAAGCTTCCTTTGTTTGCGAGAGCACCAGTTTTAACAATGCTCTCTGAAGAACAGAGATCTCGTGTTCTGCTCGTGTTCTCTGTAGCTGCCCCTCTGGTAGGCTGTGTCACTAGAAGCTTGGACTGGTTCAATGGAGGGTCAGTGGAGGATAGTCTTATAGCTGGAAGTTCTGGTCACAGTGCTGTTCCACAGAAATAACCATTGCTGAGCATGAAGAAGTTGGCAGTGATGAGTGGGATCTACGTGTGGGCTGTTCTAGCTATGGTGTGCCGGATAAGTGCAGATGGCAGAATAGTCTTACTCGGTAATCTTTCCCAAGGGCCTCTTAGGAGATCGTTGTGATCTGGATTAAGTGCTGAGGTAGTGTTTGGTTGCTGTCTTCCTCAGGAACTCTGTAGTAGAGGAAGGAGTAACTGGTACTGCTGCACGGGTGCGGGTTGCAAATATCTGTTCAGGGTCAATTTAAATTTAGGCATCGTTAACTTGGACTAAGGGACTATAATTCATTTTGTCTGCTGTTAAATAGGGAATACTGTAAAGCATTAGAACTGTGCAAGACACTTGTCAAATACATGGAAAGAAACAAAGCAAGTGGCAGATACTTCCCCCCTCCCCAAAAAAAAGAAGGTTTGTTAATTCCTCATAAGGGATAATTGTACTTGGCTGTCTACCAGTAAGCTTCCCCCATATATAGATGAGCTGTTTGTGAATCATTTGGGTCATCAAGTAATCTCTGAGGGTAAGGAAGGGTATAAAATATCGTAGGATTTTGAAGTAAGAGTAGCTTTAGTACTCAGGCTTGGTTCTCAAGTTCTGCTTCATAAATCCCAAAACTGCTCTGTTTTAGGGAGATTCTAGTCAGTTCATGGGTATAATGTTATTGAAAGTGGCTCATGCCAGTTAGAAATCATAAAAAATAGGGGTTTAGCTGTTCTAGTGGTAGAATCAAAGTAATTTATCTAAGGAACATAACACATGTTTTGGGTTGTATTTGTATGCTGTATAATGCAGCCTCTTGTCTTGATTTCCTTGTTCCAGTCTGACTTCTTACGCTGCTTTAGCATAAGAGGAGGCTTTTTGCAGGCTTCCCCCCACCTCTTGCCATGTTAAATAAACATAAAAATTACTTGTATGTATAGTACTGCAGCTTGATAGTTAACTTTGCATTTATGGCTATTAAAGTTGTGTTCAGATTTCCAATCTTCCCGGACCACCAATGTGGCGACATGCTCTTTTTCATAATGCAAGACATCTGACACTTCTGTGTTGTGATTTGACCTTTAGGAATGGGGCATGTCTTCCTCCTTTAGCAGGAGAGTGTGAAAGAAATGAGAATTCATCTTATCCCGCATCATGGATATAATGTATAAATTGGGGAACTTTATAATCTGAACCTGAAAACTCTAGAGCAGTCTTCACTGGAGAGAGAGGCATGTAGAAAGTCTCTAGTTAGGCTAAACAAAATCTAGTTTATACTTTAAATATATTTAAAACTGCTGCTTAACAGAACTTGAGACATGTTTGCTGATGTAAATGCTTTGAAGAGCCCTAGTAGATCAGTGTAGAATAGGTACTGCTTAAATAACTTGTGCAGTGCCTTTAAATTGCAAACATAGGTACAATATAGCACTTAAACTATACTTACTGTAAAAATTAATTTCCAGGAGAAGATAGTGTGACAGCTTGGATATACTACTACCTGTGCTGAAAAACATGTGAATGTGTTAGTGAATAACCCTAGCTTTTAAAATAGTTATTAAATAGTTTACGAGTATCTTACTGTGCCACTTTCTTAATTAATAGGAGGAGAGTAAATTGAACAGACTATGGTAGACAGAACCACTTTTAAACTTACTGTAAAAGCAAGGGACAGTGATTGTCATATAATATTTGATGGAGCATATTTATATGAAATGCCAGGTGGAAGCCAACTTTGTTTCTATGCAATATGTGATTCTGCAGTGTCGCTTGGTGAAATGTAATTACTCACATGCACAGACAAAGGAGGTGTTTAAAACAACCCCAAACCAAACAACCAAACTTAATACTAGCACTAGCTCTGAAACAATGAATTTTAACTGGATAGAACTCTTACAGATCTTTTTTTTTAAGTTGCATTATCTTAAAATGAGTATTTACTTCAAAAAAAATCTTAGATAATAGAGTATTTTAATAAGTGTTTTTTGTTTGTGATGTACATGTGGATTTGATTTACAACTAGATGAAAGATGTTAAATTGTTAATTTCAATTTACCATGGAATTTAAACATTTTGAGACAAGAAATTTGCTGATGGTTGAGTTGAATAAACTATTTTGAAACCTCTCTCGCTAACCTTAATAAAACAACTTCTGCCTTCTTGTCGAGGTGCTGAACCATGGACTCTAATTTTAGATGCTCAGATTTGAAAAATTTGCTGAAGCAAAATAGCATTCTGTAAAATTAATTCTCATATGCCAATAGGTTTTTATATGACTTCTGTTTTTAAGGTACTCTTAAGTTCATTGCATTTTTTGGCAAAATACAATTAATTGTTTATTTTTATCCAAGTCTTTCAGATATCGAGTATCTTAAATCTGTTTTTTAATGAAGCGTAGGCTAAGATGTTATTGCTTAGTGTTCTAATCAGTATCCAACTTTTAACTAAAAATGTGGAAATTTTTTTAAACACAGGATCAGAATTGTCTTCTTACAGGTACAGTGTGAATTTACGTGTCAAGGTGAATTTGCAAGCTAAATGCACAACAATTTTTTTTCCCATTATACTTACTCAGAAACTCAAAGTGCTAAATATATTCTTTAAAAGTTGAGTAGAAAGTATTAATATTTGGAACATCATATTTTTGTTGTTCACTCTTTTCATGGCTAACAATTTAATTTATAGTTAGTGTTCTTGGAATAATCACTACTAGTCGTCTTAAATTGATGTCAGTGATTTTTTTTTTGTTGTGGTTTTTTTTATTCCTAAAAGCAATCTGAACTAAATTTGTAATTAAAGCAAAGTAACAAATATAAGCAATAAAGCTAACTCGTATCAGTTGATTTGTCAGCCCCGTATTACATCCCTGGAAAGTTTCCCCCAACTTCCTCTCTGGAAACTTTCTTCTCATATACATAACCACAGAATTTTGTGTTCTTTGATATCTCATAGTTAATGTATATTCATTTTTTAAGATGGTATCGCAAAAATCCAGGCCTGATTAACCTGAGTGTTAAACTAACCCCATTGTATTTCCTGAGTTAGTGTCTCCCCTGTTTGGCATATGTGGGATGTAATGTTCTTGTTTCCATTGAGCAAAACACAGCTTGATTTTAATTGTAAGTATTTGTGGGCAAAAGCAGTAGTTAGTATGTATTTAAAAAAAGAGCTTGAAGAGAAAGAAAGTTTTTTCTGGTACTGGCACCATTGCTCAGCAGGATTTTTCTCTATGCTTGCAGGTTTTGACTGCACTGGTTTTGACAATGTCAGGCTTTGGCAGCACAAGTGACTTGAGTTTCTGTTAGCTCTGCTGCAGCAGTCTGTGTTGTGGATGTGAGAATGGTGCCAGTCTTTGCTTAAGGCAGAGCTGCTGAAGTTTTGAGCTATTGCATTAGTAATGGTATCTCTTATTTGAGAGCACAATAAAAACATTGTCTTTTTGCTTTTGTTGCTGTTATTTGTGTAGTGTTCAGGAGGAGGAAGATAACAGACCTGTGGATGGAGGGGCAAAAAGAAAACTAGAAAAAGATGCTGGGAGGAAACAGGAAATATAGGTTAAAGCGAGAGAGAAAGAATCTGAGCTGGGGTGGTTAGCTTAAAGAAATCTAGTCATTGGGTAGAAGTTGTTGTAAGAATAGGTTGAAGTGAGGGAGGAGTTGGAGGGGAAGAAAACTACAACAGAGGGGCCCAAGATTGAGAGATGAAGAGTAGAGGCAAGGGTGAACAAGTTTGGGGAAGCAGTTTAGGATTTAAAAAAACGCCTAATTATGTTTTCATAAATTTGCATAGAAAGGGTCAGAGTGAGTTTGCATGTGCAGTTATAAACATTGGTCTCCCCTAAAGCTCAATTATTTGACTTTGCATGCTGAATGTTATTTTGAGATGAGCTTACACAGCCTTAAGTTTTATGGCAGTGCCAAAATGAGCGCGTTTTACAGAGGTGGCACCTGAGTTTAAAACTGACTGACTTCTGGTTGTAATGTTAAAAGTGATTGTATGATGACAGATTTCCTGAATACTGACTAAATAATTCTTGCTTCTTCTTTTAGACGGGGCTTGAATCCACCCCACAGAGTGAAGTCAATTTCAATGACTACTTTCACACAACAGGAAATAGAATTTCTGCAGAAACATGGAAATGAAGTAAGTATTATTTGGAGAATATCAAGTGTTTTTGGCACTTTAATATTAAACTTTAAAACACTGCTTAAGGAAAACTTGATTTTTTTTTTCGGTAGCAAAAAGTAGACGGAAGTCTTTTGAAGCCAACATCATTTGTAGTGGTGCTTCTGAAGAGCTCGTTTCACTTAGGTAGCTGATCATCATAATGTTACATGTTATTGCCCAACCCAGACAATCTAGATTCACATGATAGGTATTTCTGAATTGGGTTTTCTTTTGCGTAAGGCAATATGCATCTGTCTTTTTTTTTTTCCTTCTGCAAGCCCAGACCTTGAGACTGACTGCAGCAGTGTTTCCTGAAAGAGCGTACCATGACAAAAATAAATTGTTGTTTGTAGCTGTATTTATTCAGAGTAGGTGTCAGAAAGTCTTTAGTAGTTTCAATAGCCTCTTTCTTTAATGGAAGTATATCAATGTTGAAGGTTCTTGAAGAGAGGAAGGAAAGGGAGAATTTTTTTCCTCTAAGGATTGTTATCTAATAAGTGTCTGTATGTTTAGAGTGGCTTGGGGCAGCTTTGAAGTTCTAGTGTACTGCCTTTTTGTTCTTTTTAATAGATGAAAACTAAATCTGAGGTAAATGTTGGATTGGCTCTGTGGGGACACATGGAGCATGTAAACCCTGGATGTGGCTATTGCTGTCTTCAGTTTGAGAATCAAGTTTTTATTTTAATACCATACTATAGCATTGAGGACTTTAGAGGCAGCTTTTGCTTCTGTTCTGAATTAGAAAAAGTTCTATTTCATTTTGATTGGATCTGTATTCTGTTTTAGTAGAGCTATTGGTTGTAGGCTACAGCGTGTCTTATCAACATGTTCTTATCAACATGTGAAGCTTTGTGGGGATAAATCCCATCATTAGCTAAAATGCTCATACTTAACTTTCTTAAACTTGGCCCATTCATAACTGTCAGGTTGAAGAATAAAAATAGAAGTAGCAATTTCTTTTTCTGTCCTGGTAAATATGTGTTATTTGTTGAAATGGCTGTTAGTGGATGATTCCTCTAGGCAGAGCTGGAACAAGGTCTAAACTCTTCCAGACATCATAAAATGCTCTTAAATGGCTTTGACTAGTTTTTTTAAATTGTTTTGGCATGTTAAAGCTGTATAACATTGTGTATGTATGTGTGTATATATATGTGTAGCATATTGCTGACTTTTTGCATGGGGAGAATAATAGTCTTTCGTGGGTTCAGATATAGTACATCGGAGTCTCTTTCCATAAGATTAGATTGTAAACTCCAGCTTTGCTTTAAGCTTCACAAGTGTAAAGGAAAATGTTGTGTGTGCATGTCTGCGTTCCTCCCTCCCTCCCTGCATCTGTTGTAATTTCAGTTTTTCACTGAATCTGCAGTGGCTGGAGAATGTTACCAGTTTCATTTTTCACTGATCTGAAGCCTTAAGTGATCCCTACTCAGTTGATTAGTGTAGTTGTCCTTCTTATTATAGACCTGACTAGTCTGCCAATCATAATGATTTAGTTGATACATAATTTGTTATTGATATAAAAAAAGTTCACAGATCTCTGCAATGCTGTACTATGTTTCAAAAGCCGGGGTCTTTGTTTGTAGTACTTATTCCTCTAATTAAAGTATTGCAATGATTTAAATGCGCTACCTCATAAATGAAGGTATCCTGAGTTTAGTTTTTGGTTGTTGGATAACAGTGTATTGCCTTAATTCTAAAGTAACACTGAATAGATGTTTGTAATTGCAGATGGTAGATTTAACAGGTCCTCAAATACTGAACAGAAGTGATACTGTTTTAAACACTGTTAGAAGTTTAAAACTTAATTAAACATGTTTTCACTTGGTCATGCTGTATGATGCAGTAGTTAAATAAGCATTTTGCTTTCTCTTGTTGTTATTGGACTTTGGAATACTCACCTGCAGATAAGATAAAGTATTAAGCAGATGAAGTTCATCTGACCTCACAAAAAAACTTCTTTGCTTAGCTTGCTCTTCAGCATAGGTGGCTTTTGTGTATATATTAAGAAATGAAATTTTCTAGGATAAACTTGTTCAAACATGGCACTGTCCAACATTTTAGAATGTGGACATGTGAAACAAAGTGCAGTCACTAAATGGTTTAGATGTTGTAACATTCAGTTGTTTTAGTTCTGCAGCTATATATAAAAAAACTCAACTGTTTGCAATCTAGTATGTTTAACTTCTATTTTTCTGTAGCTTGTAAAATACTTTCATTCCCATTTTGTCCTCCCAGTCTTTCTCCAACATGGCCAAGGCCTCTGTGGTAAGCTTTCTTGCTTCCAGATGAGTACATCATGGTGTACAATAGGGAATTTGTTCTGAATAGAAAGGAAAATAGCAAGAAAGCTTCCCTGAGATAAGGTAGAGTTGTTCTTAGAGGAAGTAGTTTTCCACTCTCCTTCAAAGAGTATTTATAAGGTCAATGTATTGTATGAGGTTGAAGTTCTCTTAAAAAAAAAAAAACCAAAAACACCCAAACCCACCAAAAAACCCACCAAAAAAACCAAACAAAAAAACCCCCATTTCCTAATCTCTGAAATAGTAACTTTTCCCCAGTTGTCACAAATTACCATCTTGTGGCACATGTGGGTAAAACATTCAGGTACTAAAAGGCTTCCACAAAGTGACTGCTTTGGGATGAGATTATTCAGAGCAGCTTCTCTTCAGGTGTGAGGCACCATCTCCTTCCTTGTATATACACCTCCAAGGAATGTCTTTCTGGCACAGGTGACTTGAACTTTTTTTTGAACGAGTTTTTACTGCTTCAAATACAGATTAAAATCTTCTTACTGTATTAGAAGACATTTATATTTTGGTGTTGCTTACTCGTCTGCAGGTATAGACAGATGTCCAGGCTCTGGTTTTGCTAATGGTGGGGTTAGCTCACTTTTGCAGCAAGAATGGAGATGTCTTCAAGCTGATATTCCTCAAATGCCTTCTGAAGTCCTTCTGAAAGATAAAGGCAATTCTAACTCTCTGGGTAGGATTTTCCGCCTCCTCGTTCTCCTCATGAAAAGCGGTGTGAGGTATTTTCACATTGTATTTTCATGTTAGGAATAATGAAGAGAGAGTGGTATGGAGATGGTTCTGTTTGAATACTCATAATCAAGTGATGCTAATGTTGATTAGGCCTCTGATTCAGTAATGCAATGATAGTAGTGAACTCGCTGCAGAAAGTGGAGGTGGTACTCATCTTGTGTGGCTGTTGTAGCTGTGAATATTTATTCAGAAGCTTTCCCCTGAAGATGAAAAATAGTGTTATGAGGCAAACCAGTTACGTAGTTAACTTTTCTACTACACTTTAAAAATGCCATATGTTTTATAACCTTTCCAAATAGTCTATTCTAATATGTGTATGATGGAAGAAAATGATTTGGATGATCTTGTGTTTGGAAAATCTGTGTTCATCTGGGGACAAGGATCATGTTTACCTGAGCTAATGAGTAGAATGCTATGTGGGTATGCTCAACTGCTTGGGATTAGCTTATCAGTGCTTAATTTTGTCCTTGTGCCAGTCTTCCTGACTCTTGATAGCACCTGTGCAAGTGTTTCTTACCAGTTTCCCGCACTCCAGATTCCAGGAGAACCTACAACTGCAGAACTAGTAGCAGTATGGGGCTGGTTCAGAGCTGGTGTTTGGCCTGATCAAAATGCTTTCCTAGAATCTCCGTTACTATGGAATGTGGCCTAGAAACCCTGGAGTGGAAAAAGCAGTACTAAGCTGGAGCTGATGAGTCCTGACAGCGTGAGCTGTGCAGTCAGGTGTATTGTAGTACATCCCTGGTCCTGCTAATACGATACAGAGATACATGAGCTGATTGTGTATAGGACAAGGTCTTTGTTAGCAGGATGTATTAGCTTGGACTCTGCTTATGAAAGCAGCTATAGCTTCTGGACGCAAACTGGCTTTGAAATCAGTATACTGGCAGTATAAAATTCTTTTAACCCACAGAGATTAATGAATAATATTGACATCAGAAGTGCTGAATTACTAAATAAAGCTATAACTTGCTTACATAAGGGAACTATTTCCAAATCTTTCTTCCTGTGGTGAGTGTTATGTTTTGGAACATAGTTCTGTTGTGTGGTAATCTGCAGTTCTTTGCACTGTCAGCATTACATTTGGTGCATAACTGAGGAGATTTTATTGTGGGGGAGAGGGAGAAGAAGAAATCTAATTTGGGACTTACCAGACTCCTGAAAGCTAGTATCTCATTAGAGCTTTTTAAACTGGACCAACATGTGTAATCTTCCTATGCAATGGTATGTCTGGGTCTAAACAAGAAGTGCTCTATTGCTGTAGGTCTAAAAGTGTGCTTTTTCTAGTTGAAGTGCAGCTTCTACCAGCAGAAGTACTTGTCCTATTATAGCTTTTCCTTGCCATGCTGCCTTCACTGCATACAAGAGAAGGCGGCTTCATGAGCAAAAACTTAATTTTGCTGGCCTAACTGAATTTTTATTATTCCTAACTAGCACAACTATGCTAACAGGAGTTTCTAAAGTGTGGTGGCTCAACGTGTTGTGTAAGCAGAAGGCCTTTGTCTCTCCCATATCTGCCTTCCCACACACACTGGAGATCTGTATCAGTGAAATAGTTATGACATGGTAAAGTGTTGTTTGGTAGTTGAAATATGTAGCACTGGAATAGAAGTAACTGAAATCTCAGATTGTCTCAGGCTTTCTGCAAAATTTGATGGATACTGCTGAGGTGTTTTTTTTTTTCATTTATTAGCAGTTTTTTAGTGTGCCTGTCCTTTCCCACCTTCCCAACTCTGTAAAAACACACACAAAAAACCCCAAAATGCAAAACAAACCTAGAAGCAAAACCAAAAGCTAAACATTTGTGGAAAACAGGTACGTTTACGTTCCCCTTAGCCTTTGAGCCCTGCCTGGAACTCCTGAAAACATGAAATGTTACTATGAGGCTGGGTTTTAAACCAGAAGGCTTTCTGGTCAACTTTGTTTTGTGGAGTA